CTTGATTGGTGAGTCGATAAACGTTACCACTTATACAAGAAACCAATTGTATCAAAACGTAGGCCTATCGTACGATTGTTTAACCGTAAAATACGCTATTGACTTTTATCAAGATGGTGCAAGGGGGGGGGGGCGCTTTTAGGCTAAATAAAGTCGCAAAATTACACTGGATTTTAAGTAAACAACCTTTAAAAATAACCATTTTAAAAAAAACCCGCTCTACAAATTTTCTCCAAGATGGTTGGGAGGTGTGTGTATGTGTATGTGTGAGGGGTGGGAGAGTTTTTTTCGCGAACAAAAATCGCATGTACTTGTACTGGATTGGTGAGTATATAACTCTTTTAACACTTAGAAAAGAAACCAATTGTATTAACGCGTCATGTACAATTTCCCCCATCTCTATTTCAAACGATTTCCTTTATGACTTTTTGTCTTCTTTTCTTCCTCTTTCCCTGTGGACTTTACACCAGTTCCTGCTTAATGATGTTATTTACTGATATTGTGCCCTAACCACCACTTTTTTCATGCTCTTATTTCAATCTTCACTGTCTGTAATCTAGCTCCGAGCTATACAGTAAAAGAGACTTCACATTTAGCTATAAATCTTGATTGAATTGTTTTGACAATGCATTTGAGTTCCACATGTCTTAGAGTGATAAATCGCGTTTTACTGCTGCTGATTCTAATCAGAACGTCATGGGCGGCGCCACTATCATTAAACTGGTTGTTACTACTTCTTCAATTACTACAATTAGTTCTGCATTTGTTGTTGACTGTGCACGAGAAAGTAGTGCACCTCTGAGAAATCCAAGACGTCGAGCTGTTCACATCCGTTGGATTCCAGTTTGTTTCCTCTTGCTTGTTTAGTTATACCATCAAACAGTCGACGAAATACCCATGTCGTATTCCAATGGGAACAATAAATGTTTTGGATAAGTTGCTTTTGTATGTCACGTGTGTATCCTTATTCTAACAAACTTATAATCCAACTATGTACCATATCGCAACAGAGATCGTTCCAAAAATAAAACATAAAAGGCTGGTCTAAACAAATTAGCGCTTGCTACAAACCTCCCTCCAACTCAGATCAGGCATTTATATTTTTTACTGACATTACTAATCTTTAGTAAAAGGAAAACACATCTTAATGGGAATTTAATTGTCGTTAAGTTTTAAGGAACGAAAAATCATACACTTTAATTATTAAATCTTGTCCGGACTGTTACACACACGCTTCCACTAACGCTTCCACACACACACATACACGCTTACGCACACACACGCTTATACACACACACGATTACACACACACACATATATATGTTACGGTCAAAGCCCGAAGTGCGGCCAAACCCCGGATTGGCCGGCCAATGCGCGGATTGGCCGGCTCTCTTGGCCAAAGCCCGAAGAACTTAGAACTAAGATCGTATTTTGGCCGGCCAATCCACGCTTTAGCCGCACTTCGGGCTTTGACCGTAACATATATATATATATATATATCTCAAAAGCCTATAACTTGAGTACTATTTCAGATAGATAAATGAAATTTCACATGTAAGTAAAAGATCTGATTCTCTACCTTCTGTCAAATTTTGAGTAATTTCTGTTGACCGGAAGTACTAATTTACACTATTTCCGATTTTTCAAAAAACGCATGTAAATTTATAAAGTACTAATAATATTGCGCATTATTATACACATCTTTATTCGGCGTTCGCTTGATGCGCAATTCTTTTTTTATGAGATTCTATTCTATTTTTAAAAGTTTAAGTATTTAAAATGGATTAAAAATCATAACTATATCCCCAGTTACCATCCCCTGTTATTTTATATAAGAATATTCGAGAAAGTTTAGGGGAGATCACTACCGGTTTATTTAACATAGTGATAGTTATGGGTTAGATCACTGTATTGATCACACACCTTTTTTACTAGTAATTGCAAAAACAATATTCACCGAGTTTTAGGTTTAAAAAGCTAATTTTCTGGCGGCATGGTACTTTGGTACATCATTACGCGTTTTTCTACATGTACTTAACAGATCAGTTCGGGGTGGGTTGGGGGGGGGGTGGGTGGGTGGGGGGGGGGGGGGTTCAACTTCATTCACCACTGTCCGTTCACTTGAGGTCAATTATCCAACCCAGTGTATACCTAGGTGTGACATTAATGTCGCTCTATACAATTGTGGTGGTGAGGTGTTTGGGGGGGGGGGGGGGGGGGGAGATAACCAACTCAGAGTGAACATAGCGTCAGTTTTTAGATGCCTCTTCTAAACATACATATATATTACACAAATATATATTACAGAAATAGATTTAAATAAGTAGCAGTGGTATTATGACAATATTTTTTTTACAGAGGGGTCCATGGGGGAGGGGGTTGTAACTGTTTCATATAATTTGTAATCGTAATGACTATCGCCCAAACTGTAAGAATACTACTACTTCATCGTGATGACGTTGTTGACCTTGTCAAAATTTCCCCACCACTACGCAGTTTGCTCATAAGTAAATTTAAATAGAGTTGCCACATCAGTTGTATTTGTTTCTGTATTGTAATTTTTTAAAAATTAATCACACGATTCAAACTGTATTTATAAAGTAATTATGTGTGAAGTTTTATGTATAGCATTTTCTAATTCAATTATTCGTAAGCAAATACATTATACAGTTGCCTTAAACTTAACACCCCTCTTGCCAAGTGGTACTACCGTAGAGGTTTTTTAAACATTGCAATGCATCGTAATGGTTATTTTTAGAATGGCAAACTGATGCAGATGTTAATACGTGTTGTAAACGTAGACACTACTAGACTAGTACAACAATGCTTAATTGCTGCATGAAAAGAAATCTTGTGATTTACATAGATGTGCCGACCAAAAATATTTTTTAAACAAATAACATTGTTTAAAACTTTGAGTTTAAAAAGTTTCCAAAAAGGCGCCACTTTGCTGAAAATGGCCTGAGGGGGAGCGACCGTTCCCCCTGCTCCCCCCTGCGTACGCTACTGATATATATATATATATATATATATATATATATATATATATATATATATATATAAACAAACACGATTGCACTAATATACGATCTATTGATACGAGCCATCGAAGCGATAATTTGCTTTGAAATTCGAGGAACCGGATTTCAATTTGTGAAAATAAACACCACGAAAACAACGCAACTGGTAGTGCATCGCAGCTACCTGATATCACTTGCCTACCTCTGACGTGAGTTAGGTACCCATGAGAGTTGGGTGGACTCGGGACGTCCTTTTTTTTTATTTTATTTCTGTTTGCAATTACAAAAAGCTTGTGATTTGAGCATTTAAACTATTTAAAAAATCATTTGATTTGTAAAAACATACGTCGATAGGAAAATAAAACGTATTGTTTGTAGAAGACCATTTGGGGGAGCCCTAGAAATGACCTTTCACCCCCCCCCCCCAATCCGTCTGTTCTATCCCCGTTTTGTGTAATCATTCAGTAGCTGTCCGGCTTAATGTTTCCCCTCTACTGCTACTATTAAAGTAAATGTGCTGGAGTTCTGAGCAGCCTCTTAAGTAAATCTAGAATAATCACATTCTAAATCGTAATGGCTCAATAAATCCTCCCGCCATTTAGAACAGACAACTTAGACACATGTCCAGTCGAGCTTCGGTCAGCGGTTAGTGGCGAAACTTGACACTTTATAGAGAAACATTTCCAGTACAAATCAACATTTGTCGTGTTAAATACGAACATCGGTGGTGCTGCGTACATTCAAATAGCCTCGGATGTCTGAACGCGTCGGTCAAGTACGTATTAAGTTGACGATTAATATCAATTAGAAGGGAAAACAGGCACGCGCTATTTGTTGGCTGAAAAATTTACACATTTTAAGCGTGATCCGTAACATTTATTCTCAATTTGAAAGAGGTGGTTTGACTTTGAGGTGGGTGGTAGGAGGCGCTAGGTCAAACACTTGGCTGCCTCCACTCTACGCTTGTGCTGGACTACGTGGGCTCGCCATCTTCACGTCGGTTGATTTCTGAACGACAGGGGCAAAATTTCAGCTAAAGAATTACTTAGCAGAAGTTACCGGCCCACGATATCGTGTCCCAGGACACTTTCTGTTTACATTGACTCCGCCCGCTGGATGGCGCTTTTGACGCGGCGGTCGAGTAGAGAAATTGTTCGATTTTAGTTCCTGATAATCTACAGAACAATAACGGCTGGTGGCGAGGAAAAGTTGTGATCAATAACTCAAGTGATCAAGGTTCAAATACTGGTCTTGCCAAGATTAGGCTAGTATCATCGTCTTTCACAAAATATCTGAGTTCAGCCCCGACTGGTGACCCATTTTTTTCTAAAAGCCAAGTGACCCCCATACAATAAAAAAAGAATGGTTTAGTCTAAAAGTCTAAAAAGGCCGCAGCACTTAAATAACTTACGCATTTATGTGATTTCAACCCTATAGCCAATTTATCTCTATGATGTCAACCCTATAGCCCACGTATCTCTGTGAAGGCAATCATATAGCCCATGTATTTTTCAATTGCAACCATATAACCCATCTATTTCTGCAATCCTAATATATAAAAGCCCATGTGCGCACTTCTCTCTCTGTCCGCAAAATATTTTCACAGGTTATGGGCGAGGCCGGCGATACCCATTAGGCGAACTAGGCGATCACCTAGGGCGTTGTCCATAGGGGGGCTCACAAATGTGAAATCTTAATTATTAAGAAGTACCTAATAATTTATAACTTTGATTAGATTACATTAACTATATATAAAGGTGTAGCGATCTATTAGGTGCCCAGGACGAACTCTCAATTTTGAGCCCCATCTTCAAATTAGACCTATATATAACCCCATAGACCATGTATATCTGTGATGTCAACCCTATAGCCTATGTATCCATGATGGCAACCCTATAGCCCGTATGTCTGTGATGATTACTTTACATTTATATTCTTCTACACAGTTATAAATCTGAATAGTTCTGTGATATATTACAGATCCAATGGCCAATGCTTTAGTTAGCAGTGAAATGGAGACTGGGAATATGCCAGGTTTTATAAAGCTCCTGGACTACATTGCTGATTACAAAGGTTTGTTGGCTAACCTCATCTCCTTACACATAGCCACATTTACCCTCAATTATATACATTTTAAGTTATAGATTTACAAACTATTAGTTTACCAGAATATTTATACATAAAACTTTAAAAAAAGTAAAATGGGTAATTTTTCAGGTTATAAATTAAAGAAAATATTTCTAAGCTAATTTTTGTAGAAAAAATGGTCAATGCTTTGTTTTTCTACACCCAGCAGAAAGAGAGAAGATGGAACCAGGCAGTATTTTGCTAGCCAAGATGGGTTTGCTACCATCACACAACCATCTGCTGGTGTCCTCCAACCAGAGGGGAGATGGAGTGTCACCCAGCCTAACTGGCAATCACAACACAGCCTTAGATACAGCTAAGAGAAGCTTTTTCCAAAGTGTAGCAGCACTGCCACCACTCAATGAGATGTGTAAAATAATGAATGTCAGGTGTGGCTAGATCACTGGCACACTTTCTCTGGCTAATTCAGGACGATTAAAACTTGCAAAAATTCAAAGAAATCTAAAGATGAAAAATGAAATTTTCAATTGTTTGATCCATTGTAATTTTGTTCTTTTAAGCAAATACAACTTTGAAAAAAAAAAAAACTAAACAAGAAAATATATCACTTTTCCATTTTATTAAAAATTCATCCTCTAACATACATATAGACAATATAATTAAAAAATAGATTTTGTAAGTAATAATTGTTACCTTTATAAAAATAAAATATTCTGAAACATCACACCGAACTTCTCGGCTATTATAAGGTTTTTAAAAATGAAAGCCACTTTTCTTGAAGGAAAGATACCAATGCCATCCAGGCAATTAGATGGGTACTCAGATGTCAACAAAAGAACATGATGTCTGTTAGACCAAGTTGAGATTTACATGCCTGCTGGTGTCTCACTCTCTTCTTTAACTTCTGGAGTGTAAGTTTCTTTCTCTTCATGTTGCAATATTTCTGATTAAAAAATACACAATTTTCTATTCTAGTACTATGTAAAACAGATAATATATAACTGAAATTCAATGCATATATTAACATTTCAAAATAAATAAATTTGACTTGAAATTATTGCAAAGTGTTTGTAAAAAATACTTATTTGACAGTTTGTCTCTTCTTTTGCTTTGAAAGTTTATATTTTTTTCTTATTTAATTAAAAGTTTCTGCTCATTATAAAAGAAAATTTTTCTTGAAACAATTATAGTTAATAAACAAGTCTGTTAATATTCTAAGAAAATAAAACATCTAACCTTTAGCTATTTTCTCCAATATTTGAGATGAGCATAATTTTTTAAATTCATCTTGTCTAATAAGGTAGCGACATAGAGCCTTTTTAAAGTCTCTCCAGCTGACATAATCTTGGTCCTCACCTCCAATTTGGCATACCTAAAAAGTTAAGCTTTACATAATACACATTGTTTGCATGTGAGGGTGTACAAGATTACTTCATGAATATTTCATCCTATGTTCAAATGGCTACAATTTCTACATGAAAACCAAGATGCTATGTAAAGCATGATTTAATGATAATAAAATAGGTACTAAATAAAAATACAATGTTCAAATAGATTGACTTACCTTTCCAAGATAAAGCACTCTTACATACCACTCATTACAATTTGTGGCCTTATACAGTTCAAATCTAAGATCTGCAGCAAAGGGAGGCCATTTGTCATCCCAAATGTTTAAAATCTCCAACATAGCAGTCATAGTCGAGTCATGGGAAGAATATAGGATGAGTTTACTGCATCTATTTGACAAGAAACGAAATTTAAAAAAAAAGGTTAAGGAATGACTGTACCTGACATGATAGAACTCTTTGAAACTAATATTCTTACTTGTCTCCCTTGATACGTTTCTCCAACTGGTCAACTATTTCAGTAAATAAGGGACCTCCAGACAATCGAGTGATAAAACATCTCTCTTTCTCATGTTGTCCTGTCATGGCATAATGCATCAGTTTGATTGCATTTCTGTTGATAATACTATCAAATCTTTCAATTCCTGGTGGATACATCCAGCCATGTGCCTAGAAAATACACAAGGATTAGATCAATCAAAAAAGGATGAAGAAACATCCACTGCAACCATTAGACATTTGTCTTTTTAAAAACAATGATTTTTTAAAAACTATTATTAATGGATGGTTGTACTCAACACCAAAACAAATTATTGAAAATCCTTTTGGTTATTATAGAAACCTCAACATTTTTTAAAAAAAACCAGACTTTTGTGTATTTTCAAAACTAACGCTTTTAAAATTGTTAAATTACAAACATAATTAACATAAATATTATTTGTCTTATTTTAAAATTTTAGTCAACAAAATTTTTTAAAAGGACAAATAGTTTTGATTCTGAGAGGTCACCCTCTTCAAATTTGCATGAAAAACTAGAGGGTGAGGGTAATATTGTACAATTTTTTATTCACTTTTGTACATGAATTATTGTACACAGCAAACAATGTGAAAATATATTTTCTCAAGTCAAACTGCCAATATCTCAAAGCCATTTTCTCCATTAAAATGCTATTAACCCATTCCAGCCGTCAAAATGCCATCCTAGTTATTCTTGATAAGTGTTTTTAAAAAAAATAAAAGTGCATTTATTATACGACCATTATTGTTCAATAAAGGATAATAAAAATATATCAACTGCTTTTCTCTATGGTGGTACTGGCTTTTTTCGGCACTTTTCTCACTTTTCTGCGCAGGCCATTATAAATAAACCTGTCCAAGACATTTTCCCCCGTCCCTTTTAGAATGTTTAGAAAATTAGTTAGGTAAGTGTCATTAAATAGCTCTGATGCACAGTTAGTTGCAACTTTTTCTGGACATTTCCAATAACTGTTAAGCCTGCTAATCCTGTTAGTTGTATCTCAAAGCAAATTTTAGCGCTATCAAAATGTCAAAACTCTTAAGTGTCAGGACACTTGTAGTAACACTGTATTTAAACAATAATTTGCATTATAAGAAACACTATTCACAATTTGCAACTGATGAAATGACAAAAAACACCAAACATGTTTAGTTAAGGTATTTTAAATACTGTTATCAGTTGGAATATAATATATTATAGTAAAAATAGTTTCAAAGGGGATATACAGGAATTTAAAAATAAATTGCAAACCAAGTTTAAAAACAATAAGTGTTGATAACATGGCATCTTATTAATTTTATTGTTATTTTCACCATAAGGTTAATCACTTTCACCATCATCGGTAAGCTTATGAATGTATCAAACCTATATGATGACATAGTTTAAATCTCTGCAAATGAATGAGAATTAATAATTTAAACATATGGTAGTGGTCTATGGTACTTGGTGTAAAGAAAAAACAAAGCTTACTTTTCTACTTATGACATCATCTCTAGCAAGCACAAAGTTCAGCTTATGCTCCCATGGATCCTTAAGCTTTGGAGTTTCCTATAAAAACAGTTTTTAAATGAACATCCACTCAATTTACAAAACAAAAATAAATAAACTGCATATTAGTAGTATGTCAAAAGTCTCTAAGTTTTATTTTGATATCAGCCCAAAATAATGTAGCCTTTTTATTAAATACCTTTGCATAGATTTGAAGCCTGTGGGCATTAGTCAGTATATGGCTTTCATTAATTAAAAACAAGACACCAATGTAATTTTACACACCTCAAGATAGACCAAAGGATTGACGTAAATTTCATCCATTAATATTTTCCCAAAACAGTCTTCTTCAGCAGTGATAGGTTTTGAATACCATTCAAAAAAAGACATTTGCTTCTTGATTGTCTCCTTTTTACATGAACAATATTTTTCATTTTTCTTGAGAAAGGCACATCTTTAAAATTAGAAGTGATTCTAATGACACTCACTTGAAGTAAAAAGATTTAAAAAATTGAAAAACACTACATTTTAAACTTCTTTTGGCTGTTTACAAAAATTATGTACAATATGCATTGTGGTGTCAGTCTGTCGCTCATCATTAAACATTTTAAAACTTAATTGGCATAAAAAAGAATAAGTGAGAGCAGAATGTCTGTAGTGTCTTCTTCTTCTGCATTCTTAATTTAGTTTATGGTGGAGGATTTAAACAACAAGTCCAACTTTGTGTATGAACTGGACTGTGATCTCCAGATCCGCAGGTGCCCCATCTAGTTTTTCCTTGAGTGGGGTGCATAGGGGCAAGTGTTTGGATTGTGCCTGGCTATATAAGGAACAGTCCTGAAGGACGTGCTCTTTATTCTCCGGAGCCATGCCACATGGGCAAGTTTTGCCATACACAACTTTTAGTTTTTTATGCATGTGCTGTTTTTGTCTGTTGTGGCCTGTTCAGAGTCTGAAGTGTGAGTAGCATTTGAAATTAACAGTTGACACTGTTGTTGGACCATACTCAGACAGCAAATTATAGTTATTAAACAATACTTTGGGCCAGTATCTTATATATTATATTATACTGAATTTAAAAAGTGTCACTATCTTAACATCCGAGTTGACGCAACATTTATTATAGTTAACATTTTGTTGACAGAGGTTTAAATACTTATCAAATATTTTTGTTTTTATTCATGCATACTTAAAGGTTATCAATACAACTACCACAAATAGAGGCATAGAATGAGTTAAGCAGATCACTAGTCTTAAAAAATTAGGTAAACAAAACATACTTATTTTTTCTTTCTTTCTTGCCACAAGAACCACACTTAGGCTTTTCTTTTTTTTCCTCTTTGCATGGCACCTGTAAAGAGATTAAAAAAAAATATACTGCATTGAGTTTGAGTCTTTTATAATTTTTTTTTTAATAAGCTTTATACCATTAATAATGATCTCAATTTTGATAATTAAGCATTAATTTAAAAAAAAAATTCTCCTCGATATTATGAGTATAAACAGTACCTCAAAATCTTTCCAAAGAATAGGAGTTTGCTTTGAAAGGTTGGCAATAGGATTTACTCTGGTATAAATCTCCTTGATCAGATGTTGATTGTAGAAAAAAGGATTCTTGGGGTCAAAATACTAAAGAGAAAACAATGTACAATGTAGACCAGTTGGAAGCATGCAAAAATATTTTTTTAAAAGTGTGGACCACCTCCCCCTAATACGGATTAGCTTATTAATAAATAACCAACACTTGTCTGCAAGTTAAAAAATACAATTTTCAAATTATAATTATCACTGTTATTTGCAATTCTCTTGTAAATGTTAAGAATGAATAAGATCTAATAAGTGTTGGTATCACAGAACATTTTAAATAAACATTCTCACACCTTAAGAAGTTTAAGAGTAAAATCTCAGCTCATGCTGCTATTAGAACATTTTATTTTTTTACTTTAAGAAAGCCAGTTAATTAGATATCATATGTTTAAGTTGTTGACTCAAAATATTACTGCTAAAACTCAGTCAAATGGGACAGAATAACTTTGGTCATGACCTGAAAAGCATGAATTAATTAGATTCATAACCAAGGGGCACAAGAGATAAGAAAAATGGCTTCAAGAAAGTAGCAAAATCATTCTAAGGTCATCTTACACTTTATTATCAAATTATTAAAACTGTATGCTTTAAAAAAAAGAAAAAAAAACAGCAAACTGTTAGGAAACATGTATAAAGTTTTATACTTATGGTGCAAAACACAACAATTACTAAAATGTAATTACATTGAAAATTTTACTTAAAGTTTTAAAAAATAAAATAATTTTGAGCTCACAAAATGGAACTTGTATCCAGAATAGAACTCATTCTCCAGCTTCTCAACTTCAAGCCTCTTTAAATAAAAAAGCATTTTCAAATCCTCTTCAGAGATATTTTCTCGTAATACTGGATGACGCATTATCTAATTTTAGTTAAGATAATTGGTTTCTAAATGTTATGTAATATTCTAAAAAGTTTTAAATGAGAAATTGGTATGGTAAAATAAGTTAGCCATGCTACTTTGTAATAAAAAAAAAAAAAGATTAATAATACTAACAGCATGTTTAAAAAAAAACTGATTTTTTTAGCAACTAGTTAAAGCAAATAAAAATATCTTTTCAAACATAAGTAAGAAGTTAAGGAAGCAAGGCATGTTTATTTGATTACTAAACTAATGGTAAAAACATTGTTTATATTTTTTCCAAATACAATTAAGGATACAACCCTAGACCAAAATCTGTGAATATCTTCAGCAGCTTTATTTCTATCTTGTAAAAGAGGATAGGTCTTAGGCTCATTGAATGGTGACGGTTTGTTATATTTTAAATGTGTTTCTGGTATAAAACTTATATTTTCATGTGAGACTTGATTTGATAAAAGCCTCTGGGCTGTCTTTAAAGTTTCCATTTTGACTTCAATCCCTCTATCTTATTGCAAAAATAAAACAAAGAAACATATTCATCATGCAATAATAGGACAATAATCTTCAATGAGGGGTAACATCAATGACAACTATTAATGAATGATTAATTTATTATTACAATAAATAAAAGCTATTATATTAAAAATTCTTAATATCCGTTTCCTATTCAAACATTTATATGCTGAGCTAAAAGATGAATCTTTATCTAAAGTAATAGTATAAGTAGAAAGCTATTAAAATAGACCCACCAATTTCTGCTTCCACTTTCAACCTGTCATCTTTCATTTGTTCTATAAAGTCTGAATGGAGCATTGCAGAATGATTGACTTTTTTCAAAACTTCACAAACATTGGTATCAGGTACCAAAATATTATAATTTTCGTCCGCTATATGTATGTCAATTGGATTTCTATTTTCAGCTGTAGGAAGATAAAATTGCCTATGATTATTATATGTGGTGTAGGTACTATATGAAAGTAAATGTCATATGTCAAAACAATAATATACCTTGCTGATTCTAAATACAACAAAAAACAGTACCAAAAGAAGCGAGCTGCTCTTTCCCAAAGAAACCAGCAAGAACACATCTGGCAGATTCTACTGTTCTCATAATATTGCTTGATAAAACGCTAATAAGAATGAAAGGAAACATTTCTTATGACATTATGATAAGTGTTTAAACAGTAAAATGTGTACATAAAAGCCTATAGTTTTTGTTTCTTCTGTTACTTACCTAACATGACATGGATTATATGTGCATAAGCCAAGTCTATTTCTATAACAATTTCTAAGATTTATCCCAAGAATGTACATCTGTTCTTTACCATAACTTGTTAGTGAACCATAGCAAGCTCCACCCTGTTGAATATGTTAAAGGAATTTGGTCTCAAGGCAAATGTTGTCAAAAAACTCACCATTCTAAATAAAGCCATTTTAAAAAAAATAATGATCTTGCAATGCCTATGTGACTTATTTTACTAATTGAAAGTAAGAGGACAAGCACTAATCAATAATCTGCTTCATTAAGAATAAAATATCTTTTTGTATATGGGCTAAAATGATTTTTAAAAAAAATTCTTTATTAACTACATCACACATGATTTATGAAACTATTAAAAATGCAAGTCACCATCTTGTTTAAAAAGTTATATAATCTGTTAGCCCTTCTTTAATTTAATTCATATAATTATATTTAAGCAGACAACAAATTAATCTTAGTGGAACAAATTATTTCTAACTGAATACTCCAACAAACATGAAATAAGTGACTGATGTAAATAAAAAAATAATAAAATTTAAAATAAAAAATTTCTGTAATAAGACTTATTAAATGATCTGTTATTTATTTGACACATTTTCATTGCCTTATAACAAGCGATTAACAGTTATATAAAATTATAGGTCAGTATGAAAATTTAAGTATTGTAAATTATTTACCCTGAGCTTTTTTTTCATAAGCCTTTGTTCATACTCAGACCAAGGAACTGGTTTACTATTATTGCTGCCTACTTTTTGAAAGGGAAAAATTGTTGATTGATGTTCTCTAGAAACAAAGTTTGGGTCAAAGGCAGCCTGAAATGTAAACAAAACAAAAATCTTTCAAACTAACTTGAATAACATCTATTAAAAAATATATATAGGCCTAATATAATTTAATGACATTAAATATGTTGTATGTATTAAGGTTCTCATAAAGTAAAGTTCATAACATAAAGGTTACAATCAATTTACCTCCTCAAATTTTGTAAGTGTATGAAGAGGTGTTCGAGCCCCATGGCGAAACATAACTTGAACTTGTTTTAATTCTAAGACCAAAGGTCCAGGTGGAGCACATGCTTTAGGCACTTTAGCTGTTCCATGTAAACCTATTTTATCAGGTGGACACATACGTCCTTCATAGTCTGCTTCTTGAGCCAGTACATATTTATGTTTTTTGTTATAAAAGTAAGCTAAAGATCCTCCACCAAGGGCTGGGAAGAGAATAAAAATAGATATAGATCAAGATACCAATCAATAAAAAAAACCCTGAGATTTCTCATTAGGTCTATAGATCTAATATTCATTAGATAAATCAAACCTGGAGTGTAGGAACTATGCTAATTCATTTTGGTGTGCCATAGCCTTATAATTATATTAGCCTATAGGCTAATTATATTTTGATTAAGGCTAAACATAAATAATCATAATAATGGCCAGTGTCATTGGGTGGGGGGGGGGGGGGAGGAAAAAAGGAGGTGTTAATAAAAATTTCCTTTTCTAAATAAGTGTCTCTTAGACTTTTTGATTTTGGAGATACCTAACTCCACCAGCTTCATTGCGCATTCATCAAACCCTTCCTAATTAGGAAAAACAACATTATTTTTTTCTAACTCAAAACTTGTGGGCCCCTATATATTTTACTGGTTTGCAAAATCTACTGTGCATCAACATCATCATGTTCAAAAAACAAAACAATTGAAATATACTTTTCACACAAAAAATAAAAACATATTAATAGATATTTCCTGCAAATTAGTGTGACTTCTGCTATTGCCTTTTAGAAACCAGTTCAGACATGCGCAGCTTCAACTTTAACTCAGCGAACATTGTGTTCTTGTATTTTCAATCTTAAGGAAGTGTTCTCTTGGTTTTCCAAGTGCTAGATTAATAATTGATCAACTTGGCATTTAAAATCATAAAATTAGGACACTGACTCCCATCAAGTTCTGTTGTACATATTTGTCCGACCACTTTCTTTTTCTGCTTGACATAGTTAGTATGAAGGGATTAAAATTAAAGATATTAATGTTCAGTTTATTATTAGGCCTAAATATTAGAATCTAGATCTAAATAAGAAGAGTGTAGAAATTAATTAAAATTGGTAGCCTATATTTATGTTTTTGGTAAAGGTCCATTCTTATATTAATAAATTATCCTTTTGCAATTATCAACCAAAAACTCCAGTAAAGTATTAAACACTAGATCTAGGTATCCATTTTTTGTGTGAAAATATTAAATGTGTAGATCTAGGCCTATAGGCCTATTTATTATATTTTCCGATTGGGCCTAATAATACTAAAATAGACAGGGGCCTACTTTTTAATAGTCAACCAACAGATCCAGATAGGCCTAGAAAGATGTAGGGCCTAGGCCTACATGTTAATTTGTTATTTAAATAATAAATTCATTAATTATTATATTTAATTGCTAAGTTTTGAGAGGTGACGTCCATTTTATTGGGGGGGGGGGGGGGGATTTGACGAGTGTGGACGAGGAGGGGGTGGGTCTAACATTCAAATTTTTTACCCCCTGAAGCTAGTATAATTTTATATTTAAGTATATAACTCTAGACTCCTGAGTCTAGATCAGTGGTTCCCAAACTTTTTCGAGTGGCGACCCCCTTTAATAAACAGTAAGTGACCAGCGACCCCCATAGAATTAAAAAGCCAAAATTAGTATGGAAATTAACAAGCACTAAAATAAGATTTTCTAGTAGACTTTCAATATGAACTACCCTTGATTTCTGTTTTAATACCATGAGTAAAATTGCATGCTATTTACTAAACATTCGCGGTTAAGTTTTTGTTAACGCCAACCTATGTCATTATCAACATTCAATTTATTTCTTAATTTTGTTTTTAATCTGAGAATAGTGTTGAAAATATATTCTCGAAAAGTCAATCGATTTTACGTTTGGGTATGAATGGCGAAATTGTGTGTGCAGTTTTTCATCTTACGCGAAATCATTCTGCAAATCAAAGAATTCATCTTGTAATTCACCGGGAATGCTGGCAACATCAAAGGAAGAAGAGAATGGGTAATGCGTAAATGCAGATTCTTCTTTTTTTCAGCTCAGATAAATAGCGCTGCAGTTCGTTATCAAGAGATTCAAGATGCCCAGAAATTGCTTCTTTCAAAATTTTAATTATCTCACAATCAGATGCATCTACCACACTGCAGAGTTTCTCAAATTTAAAATATTTCCAATATTTGACTGGCTGTCAAACGAAATGTTGTGAATCGTGTTTTTGAATTGAAATCAAATTGCTCTTGGAAGTGCAAAGGAAACAAGACCTTTTGGACAGAGTGGTTGGAGAGAGTATCATACCTAACAGATATATTCGAACATCAACATACATAAGCTTAACCGCGCCTTAACCTGAAGCTTCTGGGAAAATAAACTAATCACTTTCCATGATAATCTCGGGGCATTTTTATCAAAGCTGCAAAATCGGTGAAGAAATTATATTTTTATTAAACAAACGAAAATTCGCCATACCCATTAGCCCATGTTTAAAATTCGGTTTCATTTTAAGCTTCTTTTAAAATAAATATGATGTAGATTCTAGATCTAGAGATTCTAGACTTTAGATCTACATATTCGATCAGATCTAGACTAGATATCTAGATCAAACAAATCGATCAGACTAGTCAGTTACACCTTCACTTGCCAGATAAAAGTAGTGAAAAGTTGCAACACATGAATTACAGATTTAAAATAAAAAAATAAAAACAGGAGCCAAATCATAACTACTTTGGATAATTTGTTTTTTCAAATCTATACTAAATCTAAATTCGGCAAACATAAGGCAGCAACTGTATTAAATAATAATGGACGACTTCGAAACTATTAATTGTTTCCAGTTCAAAGATGGGCATACAAACATAACATTTTGTCACCTCGGGGGTCGTCCTTAAATGACGTCACATTCGTAGGGGTGAGGGGGGGGGGGGGTTCCATACTTTTGTTACGGTGTGTGATGGATAATTTGGATTGTAGGAAAAAAGTCACTGGGAAAATTGAACTCATGAAAAAAAAAAGTCACAAATATATATTTGCACATAAATTTGTTAATACTTTTATGTTTTAAATATTCAGAAAATGCAAATCAACTTAGATTAATTTAATATAATGAAATGTCCGTAGGTTGTATGCGTATAATGAAATTTATAACACGCGTAAATATTGAGTGTGAAGTATTTACGTTTTAATTCCTTTATACATATAATATTTAATATAATTTAATAAAATGTTCCAACACTTCTCCTTTTCATAGTATTTGTTAAATACTAACTTTAAATCAACACATTGCAACAATAGGTCAACCACCTGTACTGCCCACAATTATTACGCTCATTATATAACAAAGGAAAGGATCAAAGCAGAAACCCGAAACAGTACAAAGGCTGTCATTAACGCAAAACGTCAACAACCCACAATATGGACGGACAAGGCCCACTAAGGAATGGCAAAAATCAAACATGCAAAACACAATGATGTGCCTAACATTCGTTTATAATTAACATTTCTACAGCGTATTTAACTAAATTTATTTCAAAAGTTGTGGTTGCGGTGTAAATTAGGTTACATTATTTTTACTTATAAGTGTTATAAACCACGATGCTTTTATCGTTTATAAAAATGCTAAAAACAACAACAACCCACATCAATAAACACACAAAATTTTACAATTCTCAACAAATAAAATCAAAATATTTATTAAATCATTATTGTGACTTTTTGGCTGTGACTTTTTTCTGTGACTTTTTTCCCGAAAAAATTATCCTTTGTGACTTTTTTCTGTGACTTTTTATCCTAGTAAAAACTGACTTTTTTGTGTTTTTTTTCCTGTGACTATGACTTTTTTCCGTTCACCGTGTGATGAGGGGGAGATGGTGTGACGTCACAATTTTGCATTATACATTTTGCACGTGTTAAAATAACTAGCAATACAGAATGATTAGTAAAGCAGTATTTAACATGCAATTAGAATCAATCTATCAAAATTCTAAATGTTTTATGTACAGTACTTGCGCTGGGTTCCAGAAATGTGTGACAGACTTTGCCATTGTTTTACTGTGTGTTTTTTTACTGCTATACCATTCCGGAATAATAACAGACGCTAAACTAAGGTTTTAGAAAATCTCTACCCCGTAATATGACATTTCTGAGAATCTATTTTCCAAATCTCTACGGCACCAAAACTATCTTCTTACCAAATATCAAGTTTTTGTTGCATCTGCAAATGGTCGATCTATTCCAACTTCAAGCACTAAAAGAATGTATAGTTTATACAAGGCCACGGTCAGTTTTCGGTCATTTTTCCCGTTAGAATGAGAGTGAACAGCAAACTTTGTCAAGGGCAATTTGTCTGATACTCTCCTGCAGATCCCTCATCTTATAGGAGTGAGTAACAAACAGCCACCACTTTGCCTTTAAAGTTGGGCCTATAGATACAGTAGTACTTTGATGTATGAATTGAATTTGTTCCAAGAAACATTCGAATATCGAAATTACTCGTATCAGAGCAATTTTCTACATTGAAAATAATTGAAATGCAATTAATCTGTTCCTGTTGCACAGCGTCACCCTGTCGGATTTTGTTCCAAGTTGTTTTTTATTTTTATTTGAAAAACTTGCAACCTTGGAGAATGCGAGGGGCATAAAGGCGAGGAAGTAAAATGCAAGAAGAAATGCGAGACATACTGCGGAATTACAGGTAAATAGCGTGTCACAATCCAAGTTTCTTCCAGGCATCTCTTCGGGGTGGGGGGTGGCAGAGCCCTTCCCCCCTCAAACGAAATGGAATTTATATAGAAAATATATATACTTTTAACAGTGACCGCCCACCCACTCCACTCCCGGGAAATTTTTGTCTGCCCCCCCCCCCCCCCCCCCCGAGAAAAAAAGTCTGGAAGAAACACTGGACACAATTAGAGAGACATTTTTGGTCTTGGTTTGTTTTTTGTTGTAGTGCGAGAATAAAAATTATTAACTAGATCATGAGTGTTATATTTTTTACAAACTAAAAATAAAGGCTGACATAATATTTTAAGACTATTTCATCAATGCGTTACCAATTGTGTATTTTTAGGCGCTTGCTCTCTTCTGATTAAATCATGTAAAAAACAAACGCACTTTGCATCATCATAGGAAAGGGCACCAATTAGCCCCGTGCCAGAGAACGCTGTTGATTCGATTTAGTAAATGATGTTAAAAGCCTGCCATATCCACAGTGTATCGTACTCTTTAAAACGAAGATAGGCACCACATTACTCATGGGGGAGCCTGGCGCGTCAAATCATCGCCTGCCGGGGTGCCAAAGGATTCCATTCAATGAGTGATTATAGTAACCCATCGTGTCCATAGTATAGGCCTGCCTATAGGCAAATTTTAAAATGAACGGGGCATCGGCGGATGCACCTGGTGCAATTTTACCGTGGAAACAAGTAGTACCAACCCTATGCAGGATGCCCAATCAACGGCTAGCTTGAAAGGGCATTAAAATAAGATTAAATAAAAAACTAGATTTATATTTATCAGATGTTCTTAAAGGTAAAAAAATAACAACAAAGATGACCTATATATGTGTACATTTTGTACTAAGTTACTGTACCAAAACTTTGAATTAAAAACAAACACATTTTTTTTAAAAAAATCATTATTCAATGATAATGAAATCAATAGTATTAGTTGGTAAATAACAAAGAAGGTTATACATCAACTTCTAGTATTGTTAAATAACAAAGCAGGTTATAAATCAACTTCTAGTATTAGTTGGTAAATAACAAAGCAGGTTATACATCAACTTCTAGTATTAGTTGGTAAATAACAAAGCAGGTTATACATCAATTTGTAAGAACTGAGATTAATCTCCATTTGTATGACAATTAAAATAACAATATAAAGGAAAAGAGAAAAGATGAACTCTAAGCCATGACTTTTGGAGACAAGATTGGACCTAACCCCATCTTATAGGCCTAGATAAAACAAAACTTTTCACAAACTTTAAACTTTGTCTTGGTATCATGTGTTTACAGCTTCCCTCGCACATTCTCTCTTTTCAATACTACTTCATGGTCAATAAGTAGCTCACATTCTGTATCTTAAAATAGGCCTAAAATTCTCCATGTTCTCCTCATAGTGCCTCTTACTGTAACTTCTTATAGAATCAAATTCTTGATATTTTATTCAGTGCAAGTTAATGAATGTACTTAGCTATTAAACACAATCACGAACACAATAACTTATCAAGTTTCATGTTAATGTAGACAGAGTAAATTGATAGTGCACCATAAACATCTCTCCGTAATACAGTACATATTTAAAATGATGGTAATAATTACATTAAGAAGAAGTAAGCCAGATGTAGTTTACATCCCAACTTCTATAACCAACTAAAGCTAAGTCCTTATTAGCTTGGTGTTTTAACAAATAGGGCCAGCAAAGATTTTGCAGAAAGTTTTTGAGATTTCTCCCAAATCAACAATTTTTCCAGAAATGTATCTCAGAGCATTTATCCTTTTCTTGGTTCACATTTATGGGATAAGTTAGTGAGAATCCTCTGATTATCAATGACATGCAGGTTTCTGAATACAAATTTATTAAGTTTTAGTATTCAATCAAACAAACAAATAGCATGATACAAATGTTAGAAAACTGCAAACAACCAAACCAATGTTATTAAATATGGCTGGATTATATTTATTTTCAACACTACACTTTACTCTGTTGCAGAGGCTCCAAAACTTTTATGCTAAATTTTTAAAAATTCACAAGCAAATGCTGCAGGAAATCTAATTTATATTTCTTTATAAACAAACACTATACACACATATACTGGGTATTTAACTCATAAATAAATAACACATACTGAAGTCTGAAGGTAAGACATTACATAACAGCATCCACAGTAACTTACAAAGTACACAGAGGAAAACTAGTAATGTTTACAGAGAATACATTATCTAATAACATTCAAAACATTCAGATCAGAAGGACTCCATCACTTCTTTATGTAAGTTTATAAAATATTATGTGTTTGGAATCCTATCTTTGTGTTCCACCTCACTAGTGTCAAAATTATTAGGTATGGCCGTATGGACTAAATATACACGCGAATAAAATTAAGCGTAACGTTTTCCTCTAATATTAACAATTTGTTATAATTGATGTGATAATTTAAAATAAAATGCTCTTATTCCAACTAAAGCTTGCATTGTCTAGATTTCAAGAGGACACCGGTCAGTTCCTTTTTGAAGCTTTCACCACCCACAATATTATTCTATCCCCTGTCCCTTAATTTGTCAACACCCCTTCCTAGTTTTGGAACCACTGCTATAGAGCAAAAATAAATGGCAGGATAGCATTATGTACCAAGTTCTATGCAAGACAAAAAGAGTGAGTAAGATTTAAGTATCTACTTACAAAAAAAATCTTACAAGTTAAGCAAATGTATACAGAAATCAAGTGAGGAGGAAGAGAAACTGAATTGTTACCTGATATAGGACTTAATATCTGCTGATGCCTTCATTGACTCAGGTGGCTCAGGTTCTTAAATGGTAACAACAGTATTAGAAGTAACTTTTAAATGGTAACAACAGTATTAGAAGTAACTTTTAAATGGTAACAACAGTATTAGAAGTAACTTTTAAATGGTAACAACAGTATTAGAAGTAACTTTTAAATGGTAACAACAGTATTAGAAGTAACTTTCAAATGGTAACAACAGTGTTAGAAGTCAAGTAACATTTAAATGGTAACAACAGTGTTAGAAGTCAAGTAACATTTAAATGGTAACAACAGTGTTAGAAGTCAAGTAACATTTAAATGGTAACAACAGTGTTAGAAGTCAAGTAACATTTAAATGGTAACAACAGTGTTAGAAGTCAAGTAACATTTAAATGGTAACAATAGTGTTAGAAGTCAAGTAACATTTAAATGGTAACAACAGTGTTAGAACACAGTCAAGTCAAGGAACTTTCTATTCTTATTGTGCTAGATGTTTTTATTTGTTGAATCTTGCAAGCTAAAAGTAATTAATGGTAAATTTAGAAAGAGCACTTAAATGTTTTATGCCTCCAATAGAAGATTGATAGTGTTTCCATCTAAAAATTATCTTTTCTTTCATCTTAATATTTTAAAAAGCATTAAGAAGAAAACTGAGTGTTACTGTTAGACAAGATGTGATACAGATGTGTAAAGAAATTACCAATTTGATTCTGTCTACAAAATTTGACTGTCCTCAAAGTCTGTGCTATCATGTGCTGGAAACAAAAATGTAAATAAAAAAAATCAGAAGTAATATATTTCAATGCCTGATGTTAGGGTGCCACTTGACCTCCTAGTGTTTACAGTCCCCTGGGTAATAATGACAGCCAGAAGATGTCAGGCCCCACTTTTACATTTTTAGTTTTTTTGGTCATTTTAAAAAATTTATTCTTAAGTGAGTAGTTTTATTTAGCAAAATCTGCTTTCATACTGACACAATTAAAACAATGGACACTACATCTTTGTTGTACAATTGTTATGTTAGTTTGTATGTCCTATGTGCAGGATTTACAGAAGAAGATGATTAGGTAAGATTACACTTTAAACACCATACAACTGTAAATGTTTTCCAGAAAGCTTTGCTACTTTCAAAGATAATTCAATATATATTTGTACCAAGCCAATATACATCAATCAAGATAATTCAATATATCTTTGTACCGAGCCAATATACGTCAATCAAGATAATTCAATATATCTTTGTACCAAGCCAATATACGTCAATCAAGATAATTCAATATATCTTTGTACTAAGCCAATATACGTCAATCAAGATAATTCAATATATCTTTGTACAAAGCCAATATACGTCAATCAAGATAATTCAATATATCTTTGTACCAAGCCAATGTACGTCAATCAAGATAATTCAATATATCTTTGTACCAAGCCAATATACTTCAATCAAGATAATGTGTCCAGATAATCTTTAGTTTGAATTGTCAGCCACCTGAGCAATTCCCTTAGTGCTCACCATCTATTTCATTGGGAAAAACTGTTGCAGACGACACACTTGTAAAGTCCCGGGGGTCACAACAACTTGGGGGAAAACTAAGTTTTCCAAAGCATACAACAACAGTGCAATAGGACAACTAGTGGATGGCATACAAAACCACGTACAAAGACTGAGAAACAGAGATTTTAGTGTATGTGAAACAATGAGAAACAAAGATTGAAATGTAAGACAAACATTGAGAAACAGAGATTTAAATGTAATTGGTTGAAAAGATAATGACTGCAGGAAAATTATGAATTTATTCCTCCTTTCCCCCTAAAAAACCCACTATTGCATTTAATAAAAAGTTTGTTGCAATGACTGGTGTATATTTGTCAAGATGTGTTAGTATGTACATGAGAATATTCATTAGCTATACAGAGCAATAAAAAGAAATGGCTAGAGAATTGAGACTTACCATTTTCTCAAAGTTGACCATGTTATCATAGTATGTTTTATTTCCTTCATTTGTAAATGTCATATCTGCAGTTTTAGAAACATTGTGCTAATTATCCTTGATATAGCTATAAATGTTTAATAAAACTGTACAATGTAATTACTCAATCATAAATAAATCAAGGCAAATACAATTTTTTTTTTAGAAAAATTGAAACAACAGTATAGTCATCAAAACTACAGACCTTTAATTAGCAGCGGCATAAATGGTATGATTGGACTAGATAGTTTGCTGACAGCCAGTCTGTAGCACCTGTGATTGCGTGCAGGCTCCATAAATGTTTCAAATTCTGAGAACATTTTCTTTGCTTTGCCAGGTAGTTTCTGGTTGCCATAAAAAGTAGAAACGAATTAGAGATAAATATTGACACAAAAGAAAAAAAAAATTATATAGAATAAAAAGGGACATTTTCTGAGCACACGTAACTATCACTGAGGCACATACAAAATAAAAGGCTAACTATCTATCAACAAACTGAGAAACAAAATCTATAAGTAAATGTTTTCAATGGTTTCACAAAGACAAAAATGATGTCTCTTAGTGAGTGTTGTAAAATCATGTGACAACCCAATGAGTGAGTGTTGTAAAATCATGTGACAACCCAATGAGTGAGTGTTGTAAAATCATGTGACAACCCAATGAGTGAGTGTTGTAAAATCATGTGACAACCCAATGAGTGAGTGTTGTAAAATCATGTGACAACCCAATGAGTGAGTGTTGTAAAATCATGTGACAACCCAATGAGTTTGTTTTGATTGACTTACCTCCCATGTCTGTGAAAGTCTGCTGACTGCTAGGTGACCCAACCCCATGGTTATAGCAAAAAATGCATGGAAGTTGTTCATCTCCTTGCAACTGGTAAAACATTGAGATTTTTTAGTTGAATTTATCACAAAATGGCAACATTTTTGCAACTAGTAAAACACTAAGATTGTTTAGTTGAATACATCACAAAATGACATTTGTTTTTTAAAATTGTATTTTTCAACCTGAGGTTTAAGTAGGCCCCTACTATAAATTGAAGTGTAAAGAAAAAAATGAAATCACAGCTTTTACTGCTATAAATGACTTACTGTTGAGCGAGTTTGATAAACTTTCTGAGTATCTGGACCCTCTTTCCTAGATTAGTGACTAGTACCATCTCTGTCACCACCCAGTACTGAAGCTAAAATATGAAGAAATCAGTGTACCCAACATGCACCTAAAATGTCCTCTAACAACTGCATATCTTATAAAAAAAGAGAATATACAAAAAATATAAATGACCTGTTCAAATCTTTTCAGAAGTTGTTCCAGATTGGCTGAGATTCCTTCAGGAAACACAGTCAGCCCAAAAACTTTAGTCAGCATCTCTTGCTGAAATTTTTTTAATTTAAAAAACAATGTACATCTACTAAATCCAACGTTCAGTTCACTCAAATTAATCTTTGAGTTAAAAGCATAAACATGAGCTGATATTTAGCGTTCTCAGAAAAAAAAAACTGTGCAACGGAAAACTGTGCAAACAGAAATAGCACAAATACAAACTAATTATACTAATAAGCTTAAATTTTGTCATATTGCAGGGAGTTAGTTTTATTAAGCTACAGTGTACATGTTAATGTCTATAAATGCTCAATTTAAGAAAAAAAAAGCCCTTGCGTACTTTTGTGTGTGCAGTTTTTTGTTGCACATCTTTCTGATCACCAATATTTAGGTAGTGTTTTGTTTCATGAGCATAAGTAGTTCAGTATATACAAGTAAAAGTAAATAGAATCATTAATAAAGAAAGAAACCTGAGCTCTATTCCTACCTCATGGACAGCAGTAAACAGTTCCCAGTCATACAAAGTAATTTGGTAAGCCAATTCTTTGGTGCTCATTAATTCTAGCATGACTGCAGTGCTGGAGGTTGGGCCTTCTTGCTCAGGGACTGGTGTCTAATGGTGGCACAAGGGAAACAACCAAAGAAAGGAATTGGTGTCTATGGTGGCACAAGGGAAACAACCAAAGAAAGGAATTGGTGTCTATGGTGGCACAAGGGAAACAACCAAAGAAAAGAATTGGTGTCTATGGTGGCACAAGGGAAACAACCAAAGAAAGGAATTGGTGTCTATTGTACCACAAGGGAAACAACCAAAGAAAAGAATTGGTGTCTATTGTGGCACAAGGGAAACAACCAAAGAAAAGAATTGGTGTCTATGGTGGCACAAGGGAACAATCAAAGAAATAAACTGGTGTCTATGGTGGCACAAGGGAAACAACCAAAGAAAAGAATTGGTGTCTATGGTGGCACAAGGGAAACAACCAAAGAAAGGAATTGGTGTCTATAGTAGCACAAAGGAAACAAACCAAGAAAGGAATTGGTTTCTAACACATGAACGTGAATCAAATGTTATAAACACTGTGGCATAGGACACCACACTATGAACATGAATCAAATATCTACAAGTTAACTCAAAAATTTTCAAATAAATCCTACACATGAGGGTTAGCATAAAACAACAGCCACTCACCAAAGCATCTAAATGTTCTCTAGGGGCAATAAAAAGTCGGCCATTTAAACTAAGTGACATCATGATGCAGCGGTCCTTCTCTTTGAAAACTATGCGTTCTATAAAGTGATACAAGGAAGATAAGCAATATTAACAATTTTCTACAGTATCAATGGCTAAACATCTATACAACACTGATCTAATTAACTGAGAATGTTAAAACATAAACAGCCCTGCAACACTGAAGAGATGCCTGGAAGAAACAATGTGTAAGTTTCATTTGAAGAATGGCATTATTTTAGATTTTAGATTATCCCCTGATTATCAGCCGAAAATTTGGACTAAAAATCTTAATCTAGCACTGTCAGACCTAGTGCAATCGTCCAATTAAAAAGAAATGCACATATTTGAGTGTCTGTTTGACCTAAGTACTGTAATTCTCAACTTAAATATGAATAAGAGGAATGAACACGTCAGCTGTTTCCGTAGATGTCATTTCCGTTTTTCTTCCTAATTTTTTAAAACTTTGTAAAAAGTTGTCAAAAAATAAAAAATTGGCGGAAAAATTCGGCAAAAATGAAATCAGCTGATGAAAATTGCAGCTGAAATGGTAAAAAATGGGTTTCCGCTAAAATTCGGAAAATTCACATCCCTGATTTAAAAACATAAACAGCTAAATAGCACTAATGAAATAACTGTGAGAATGTTAAAACAAAAAAATTCAAATGCAGATTTTACTCTTATAAAAAAAGATGCTCAACTGACACCAATATTCCTGAAATCTTTCATTCAAATTGTCAAACTTCAGCCTCCTTGTAACGACAGAGTATCATTTATTTTCCCAACTATGTTGAGTAAAAGCTCACCTCCATTTGATTTCACTTCACACAGCACAGGGTCATGACCTAAACACAATTTGTCCCTTGCACTGAGTACAATATCCTTAACAGTGGAGTTGATGGGTAATCTGATAGTTGTGTATGTGTGATCAGCACAGTACACTTTAAATATATCTGAAGAAGAAAACATAAATAATAACAGAAATTACAATATAATGTGTTTTTAAGATTCATTGTTTCTTCTTAAAATATGTTGACTACATATATTAAATATCTTTTATTTAAAATTGAGTTGAAATTATTATTAAAGCTAAAATTAATTTTAAAAAATGAAATGATGTGATCATACATTCATCTGTTGGCTTAATAACACTTTTTTTCTCAACATCATTTTCATTTAAAGCTGACTTTGCTTGACCTTTTCTACTCATAAACAAAGACTTTTTCTTGGCTGGCTTGCCACTCACAGAACTATAAGAGGAACATGATTTAATTTGTACACATCACAGAACTATAAGAGGAACATGATTGAATTTGTACACATCACAGAACTATAAGAGGAACATGATTTAATTTGTACACATCACAGAACTATAAGAGGAGCATGATTTAATTTGTACACATCACAGAACTAAACAAGGAACATGATTTAATTTGTACACATCACAGAACTATAAGAGGAACATGATTGAATTTGTACACATCACAGAACTATAAGAGGAACATGATTTAATTTGTACACATCACAGAACTATAAGAGGAACATGATTTCATTTGTACACATCACAGAACTATAATTTTTTACTTCTTTCTGATGTTGGTGATTGCCAGCAGAGCCTCGTGATCAGGTATGAGACTTGAATGAGCTACACAGTCTTGATAGACAGATCTGGTCAGGGTCTGGGCAGGAGAAGATAAGACAAGTCAATATACTGGATAAAACACAATAACATGCACATCCTTACTAGCTACTACAATTGTTGTCATGTAAACATGATACTGTTTTAACTCTGGAGACTTCAAACACAAATGAGTAAAAGCTTTTGTCTAACAAATGAGCTTATATGAAGAATGACCTCAAGAAAATCCCCAACAAAAGTTGATCCATGAAATTTATCTGGCTCAGTGTCATGCCAGGCCAGGACAAACTGGAGGACACACTTTTTCTGTGACTGGACAAAGTCACCATCATCTTGGTTGTCTTTTCTCTTGCTATCAGAGTGGTAGCTGGGTTTCTTTTAAGGTTATTGCAGTATGTGATGGTGATAACAACATAAACTTATACAAAAGGAGAATTACAAGTGTAATTGTCTGTACAAGTTACAGAGGAAGATTCACCCTGATAAGCTTTGAGAAAAATTAAGTTGAGTAAGAAAATAGCACCACAAAATTTGTGTTAAGGATACTAGCTTAAGAGGGCTGAACACAATTTATCATCAGGGAAAAAAATGGAATGTGTAAGTAAAAAATCATCCAGGAACATGTCTGAAAAGAAATTAATTAGACTTGTTTGTTTGAATTTTAGTACAATACCACATGAAATGCAATTCAACAACTCAATTTTTGCAACAGTATTATAGTATCAATTTTAATATTGATATATTTTTAAGAGAAATTTCACAATCAGTAAACTGCTTAGTCCAATAACTACCAATTATAAAACAAAATAAGAAATGAAATTTAAGAAAAAATAAATGTGTTAACAAGACATTCAAATGTTTGAAACACAATATAGAAAGAAAGAGTTGAATACTGATAATTAAAGAAGCTCATTAAAAGCTTGTACCTATAACTTGAGGATCCTTCTTTTGTTCACTTCTGGTTTCTAGAAGATATTCCAGAACTTTCTCTGGTGTCCCAGCCATCACTGAGTATCTAGTGATCAGTGTTTTACATATACAGACATCAGTAAACACAAGGATTGACATGCATCTTACACTTTACAATTCTGGATGAAACTTACTTGTATTCTGAATGAAATGAACCATTCATGTTCACAGCCACTGGTATTTTTTCAAGAACAAGAACATCTTGTCCATGCTCTTTCAGTCGTACTGTATTAGCCTCAACATCCTGTTCAGCAATGGGGGGAAAAAATTATAAACTCATTGAAGATTTCAATCTTTTTAGTTAATAACAGGAGAGACAACTCCAAAATCAAACAATGGCTGCCTTGCAAACTGTTCTTGTTTGTACACAACAGCTATGGAAGTATATCCGGAAGGAAAGGCAGGCTGAAGTTGGAGTCATGGGCCATATTGCACATAGTATGTTCACACATAATATATAATTGTCTTGGAGGTTATATCCTCCCAAATATTACTAATATGAACAAAGAAGAAGAGGAACAAGAAAATAATAACCACATTAATATTGTAATTTTAAAATCTACTTTACTCTGAGTATTCTGTTAAAGTCATCTTTGTCAACACGCAGAAAATGACAGTTATCCTCAGCAAGAGCAATTGTAGCCGCTCTAAAAAAGTAAAGTCAGTTTTTAATTAAGTTATATTTAATAAGACAAGTTGAGGTTAAGTTATGCCTTAAAGGCTGACACTACGTATCAGATAAAGTTGTTACCGTGGAGCGTCATTCATTAAGGCCAACTTGCCAAAATCATCTGCTTCTCCCAGTACACAAACCACACCCTAGAACAAAATATTTTTAACTTTATAATGGTACTGGAAATGTCTTAGTCTAATTTATATAGTTTTTCAAACAGCTCTTAAAATCTGTTGTTATTTTCTTTAGGCAAAACAATTGTAAATGACTATAGAACCAGTTTGATACAATTTTATTGTTTGCTTTGGTAAACTAAAGCATTCAGGTGTTTACCTTTCCATAAATAGAAACATTAACAGATCCTTTAAGTATGATGTACCATGAGCGACCTTCATCTCCTTGATTAAACACTGTTAACAAATAATAACTGAAATAGTAATCTATTTTAAATTTGATATTACTGTAACCAATTTATTTGAAATTTGAAATGACTGTAACCAATCTATTTTAAATTTGATATTACTGTAACAAATCTATATATAAATTTAATACTACTGTAAAAATGTATTTTTGAATGGAAGATGTGGATAAGAAAACCAGTGAATGAAAAAACAAAAGTCAGTACTGCTGAGAGAATGACTTACACACAGCACCAGCTTTTGAATGAGCTTCAAACATAATGCAACTGGCCAGCTCCCTTTTGACTGTGTAGGAAAGATGTTGAAGTGGTTTGATTTGCAGCAGCTCCTCATAAATTATTCCTATTTCATCCTGGGTGCGTTCTTCTGGCCTGTATTCAAACATTAATTTGTATTCATTAGTTTATTGGCTGAGAATATCTGATTAATTGTTCTTAAGCTGGCATAGGACATGGCTTGCTCATTTCTATAAAAAGAAACTATTATTTCCCACTTGACTTTTGGGCCTTGAAAACAATGAATATATAGGGATTGTGTGGTCAGCACTACATGGAGACACCTTTATTTTCTCCTAAATAGAGCTAGGTAATGTAGTGACATCCTTCAGCTACAAGACTAGCTAGAGTTCAGGTACCCTTGACATTGTTATTGTGTACTGTACATAAAAAGTTTCAAATGATTTTAAAAGTTACATTTTACGCAAGATCATCCTCATTGATGCGTCAGGACTGACTTGTGCCAAAAAAGACAGAACATCAAAAAGATCATCTTCTGCTCTATCTAGGTCCAATTCATTTGGGACATAAGCAGATCCTTCTTCATCTTCAAGGAATCTATAAAACAGGTATTTGTCCAGGAATGGATGCTGTTTACAAACTGAAAAATTAGAACTGTGTGTTACAGTAATCCAATCTGTAAGTTGATAAGAAGAAACAACAAAATGGTGTATTGTGGGTATGGACATGTGTAGAAGTTGATCAAATAACTAGACACTATGAAGCAAATGGTGTATTGTGAGTGTGGACATGTGTAGAAGTTGATAAAGTAATTACACACCATGAAGCAAAGCTCCATCCTCTAAAAGAGCTTGAAACATTCCAACAGCCAGCTCTCTACAATCCACTCGTGGGAAGATGCTCATTATCCAATCCACCTTAGAAATAAAATTCTTTCTTTATTCTCAGGTTTGAAAAAACATTCTCAGGTTTGAAAAAACATTCTCAGGTTTGAAAAAACATTCTCAGGTTTGGTAAAACATTCTCAGGTTTGATAAAACATTCTCAGGTTTGATAAAACATTCTCAGGTTTGGTAAAACATTCTCAGGTTTGATAAAACATTCTCAGGTTTGATAAAACATTCTCAGGTTTGATAAAACATTCTCAGGTTTGGTAAAACATTCTCAGGTTTGGTAAAACATTCTCAGGTTTGGTAAAACATTCTCAGGTTTGATAAAGATATACAATTGGATGATACTCTCCAGCTGAGGGACTTAACTTTTAATTCAAGACAATGTGTAGACATGTCTTACCATTTCTGATCCTACCATACACCTTTTGTATGTGCGGAGGTGATACTTTCTATCACGTATCATATGAGGATACTTGATCATTAAAACAGTCCGCAGAACCCATGAAGCATGTGACATTTTTGACGATGGTTCCTATATCAATTATATTAAGTTGTATCATTATTGATGAAGATTTTCCCCTTAATGGATGCATGTAGAAACTTTATTTCAGTAGATAAATTGTATTCCTTAATCAAACAATGCCAAATTTATTTCAAAGATTTTTGGTTAAAATGACTCATGTAACAATATTTAAGCCTACACTGTATGGCACAATTTACCAAAGATATAGGTGCAGCAGGGTTGGGTACAATTTCCTGGAGGTCAAGGTCCTTTCCTGTCTGAATTCTTCTCATGTCATCTGAGAGAATTTAAAATTTCTTCAGCCAGAGAACTTTCAAACAAGAATCTAAAAATCTTTAGCTTGTACAAATCCTACCAAAGCTTTACAAGATTATCATCATGCCCTTTTCTTAAGATATATAACTACAAAAGTAGGCCTCTTCTGTAAAATTGTCATGCTAAATAATATTCTGTATACAAAAGCCAACTTTACTTGAAATCAATTACAAACCATAAATAAAGTAAATAGTGTTCAATAAAAAAATGTATTATTTATTGATAGAATATAATGTACCCATATTTAAATATTTCCAAACAATAATGCAGCAGTCAAAACAGTAAGATAATTTCTTACCACTCAAACAATAACGCAGCAGTCAAAACAGTACAGATAATTTCTTACCACTCAAACAATAATGCAGCAGTCAAAACAGTACAGATAATTTCTTACCACTCAAACAATAACGCAGCAGTCAAAACAGTACAGATAATTTCTTACCACTCAAACAATAATGCAGCAGTCAAAACAGTACAGATAATTTTTTACCACTCAAACAATAATGCAGCAGTCAAAACAGTACAGATAATTTCTTACCACTCAAACAATAACGCAGCAGTCAAAACAGTATAGATAATTTCTTACCACTCAAACAATAACGCAGCAGTCAAAACAGTACAGATAATTTCTTACCACTCAAACAATAATGCAGCAGTCAAAACAGTACAGATAATTTCTTACCACTCAAACAATAACGCAGCAGTCAAAACAGTACAGATAATTTCTTACCACTCAAACAATAACGCAGCAGTCAAAACAGTACAGATAATTTCTTACCACTCAAACAATAACGCAGCAGTCAAAACAGTACAGATAATTTCTTACCACTCAAACAATAATGAGCAGTCAAAACAGTACAGATAATTTCTTACCACTCAGATTAGGCAGGTTTGCTAAGGCTGTAAACGCAGACTCCATTAGTTCTTTATTTCTCTGGAAGAGAAGATAACTTATAAATGTCCTGACTAAAAATCTACACACTTGAACCAACTGTGTTCCTGTAAGCACACATAGAGCCAGCATCTCATAACAGCTTATTTGGTGAACCCAATAATTTTATAATGTAGGTGACATTACCAATTGTTAAAAAATAGGTTGTTTTTTACTCATTTTTTTCTGGACAGCTATTCAATAATCATAAATATTTTATTTCAGTGGTGTCTCACTAACTTTATTCATAGTTGATATAAGAATAGAAAATAACTGAGTTTTGATTTGGTTAAATGATTATTTTTGAAGATCAGTTTCAACAAAAGTTGTTTGTTACCAAATCTACCAATGTTGACCAGAGAGCTTAGAGTATTTACCTCCCACAAAACTTTGACATCTTTTAAATCAAACCATAAAAGTTCTGTGACAGAGCTTGTGACCACAGTCATCTGGTGAGGATCTTGGGTCAAAATTCCTTCCCCAAATGATGAAGCAGGCAACAAGGTACACAGAGGCTGGCTTGACTTGAGTCATTCATTTGGGGAGGATCAAGATTTATTATTTCATTCAATCAAAACTCTAAATGTAGGGCTAACTATATAGATTTGAAGAGATATCTAATCCAGTGAAATTATTATTTTTTCATTAACAATTTTCTGAGCTATGTTAGCATCTAACTAATGCAGGCTTATATCTCTGTACTTTAATGCTTCAGCAACTAACCTTCAATTTGCTGTTTTCCATTAGAAACACAGACAAAGTACCAGACAAAACAAAATACCAATTTGTACCATGTTCCCCTTGGCGAATCACTGAAACCAAAATAAGAAATATGCTAGCCCTTTTTGTCAATAAATACACATCTTGACTAGGCCTTTGGCCAATATATACACTCTCAAGGAATCAACCAAGTCCCAGAAACAAACATGACACAAACTTGACTTCAGAGTTGCATTAGTTGCAATAAATGCCTAATAAATATTTAGGTATGTAACACTACAGCTCATGTATTTTATTTTTGGGTCTACGCAACAGTGTGTGTTAGCCATTATAGAACAATCACTGCAGTAGTAGAACATTTAAAAAAAAACAACATAAGTCTATCAAGGTGCAAAGAAAATTATTTTGTTGTTTTTTGTCAGAATGTACTTAACAGTTAGTATGTGGGGGGGGGGTGTCAATTCTGTTCACCACTGTCCAGTTACTATGCCACTGAGGTGAATTCACATGTTTCACTTTGGCATAAGCTGCCCAGCCACCTTTACTTTCTCTAACATGAATCAGATACCCATTAGAACTGTGTGGACTCAGGGACATTGTTCAAACTTTAGCCTGGGATCCAAACTCAAAACTTAGGGGTTAGCATGCATGTGCTCTACTAAAAAACCACACTGTACCTTAAACCATAAACACCTAAAACTCCATCAATTTCAAAGCAGGTGATAAAAGTAATATTAGTAACATCAGAAAAAGTAAAATTCATCAAATAAACATACCAATCACATTCTCTTCAATTTTATCATAATGTGCATAGCAGCACATTTGCTGAAGAAGAGTTGAATTGAATTTTTCCATAACATTTAGATCTTTTAAGTGGGCAAAAGCTCGATTAACATCCTCAGCACTTCTATCAATCGGCCTAGTGTAAGAGAAACGTGTGAAACTATCTTAACTTTTAATAAAAAACACATAATTCACTGAGCTAGTTAGAAGTGGGAGACAGAATAGTTATGAGACATAATGATGTGTGTTGGAGGGAGGGGACTTTATGTGACCTGGCACTAAACAAATAACATTCACCTTTTTATAGATAGTTACTATTACAGCAACATGCATTACAACAACATAATACAACAACATGCAATACAGCAACACACATTACATTAACACACATTACAACAATACCCTCTACAACAATACACTTTATATTACAACAATACACATAACAACAACATACATTTTAACAACACAATACAACAACACACATTATAGCAACACACATAAAAAACACACTACAACAATACACATTACAACAACACACATTACAACACACCTTACAACAATACACATTACAACAACACACATTACAACAATACTATAACAGTGAAATGTTGGTGGATTGTATCTTGGGAGTGTGTGTTGTAAAAGGAGATTGCATCAGGGAGACAGTGGCTGTGCGCATGCGCGAAAGGAACAGGAGAGAAAGGAGGCAAGAAGATGGCGTAGCTTGACTGAACACGCTGCCGGTGTGAAAACAAAATAAATATGAAAACTGCAAAAGAAGGCTTGTCTTTTGATTTTGCATGTGTGATATAAAAGGTAGGAGAAAGGCCTGTGACATTTTGGTGTCAGAAGTGGTTGGTGCTCAGCACTGTCAAGGAAAGAATTATATCTAGATTTAGTATTGTAACTGAATAACTTCTTGCATCATTACGATGGAGTTCGAGTTCTATGCAAAATACAGTGAAGTTGCTGATTTGTTAGGATACACTGGGGCTGAGAAGGCAAATTGGGTAGAAAAGAAGGTAGCTGATGAAAAAGTTAAAAGGGAGGCTGAGAAAGAAAAAGTTAAAAGGGAGGCTTATAGGGAACTAGATCTAGCAGAAGTTAAAATGGAGGCCGAAGACAAAGAAAAACAAAGACAATTAGAAGATGAGAGAAAAACAGAGAAATTAGAAGATAGAGAAAAACAGACACAGCATGAGTTAGAGTTTGAAAAAAATAAAAGTAACCAATCTCAAGTACTATTCACAAACGGAGAGACTAAACATGAGTCAACAGGTTTTTCTGCTTTTGAACTGATATATGAGGTAAAGCCAAGAGACCCATTAACTTTATTGAAACACAAATTATTAAATAAACAGGAAGAGGAATTTGATCCTCATGAACTAGTAAACCAGACTAGAGAGAAAATACTTTATGGTGTCCAGACAGCCCAAGAGAATGCACAAGTAGCCAGTGAAAGACACAGAAGTATAAAAAACAAACATAGATATTTAAGAACTTTTGAAAGAGGAGATTTAGTTTTTGTCAAACTGCCAGACAGAAAAAAACATAGATGTATTTCAAGGACCTTTTGAAGTAATCAAGAAACTATCTGATGTAAATTATGAAATAAACATAAAGGGAAATAACACTCCTATACACATAGACAGAATGAAGAAATTATATGTAGAGCCAGAGAAACTGATAGAAGAGGAACATATGGCCTGTACTATAATAAGTGAAAGCTGTAATACACAAGAAATTAAGACGTATCATATCCCAGTGAATGAGAAAAACATAATGGACAAAATGATAAATGAATACAAGGATGTGATTACTACAGAAATGGGTTTTACTGAAACAATTCAACACAAAATAGAATTGACTGATTATAGTGCTATGAAAGGGAAACATTACCAAGTACCAGTTGCTTATAGAAAAGCTGTTGAAGCAGAACTGGATTTTCTACTTGAGTCTGGGCAAATAGAAAATAACAGAATCAGCATACTCATCACCCATGGCGATAGTAAGAAAAAAGAACAACAAAGTAAGGATATGTTGTGACTATCAAAAGTTGAATAAAAGGACTAAGATAGATGCTGAACCCATGAATGATCCTAAAGACATTTTGGAAACTATCAGTAAATCCTCAATTTTCACCACTTGTGATTTGAACAGAGGCTTCTGGCAAATAGGACTGGAAAAGGAGTCAAGACATCTAGCAAAGGTCTATGTCAATGGAAGGTGATGCCATTCGGACTTGTGAACAGTACCGCCACGTTCCAAAAATTCATGAATAAAATGACAGAGGGAATGAAAAACTTGGTCTTCTTTGTGGATGATATATGCATACATAATAACACATGGGCAGAACACATAGAAACACTAAAAGAACTACTAGAAAGACTTAGAAAACATGGGGTTACCTTAGCACCAGAGAAACTGCATGTGGGAGTAGATACAGTAGAATTCCTAGGATTTAAGGTTGGAAGTAAAGAAATTAGACCTACTTGTTAGGATTGTTACATATAAGTATTTACGTAGATTTAGAGTAGCGTCCCTTTTGTTTACATGTTTCCATTAACCTTTAATCTATAGTCTATTTTAGTATATTCAGATCAAAGAATGTAAATAAATAGTACACACACATTTTGTAGCATAGGAACGATTGGGAGGGAAGTGACATAGAGCGCAGAAAACTTAGATGTTAGGCGGGGTATAAAAGGTAGGGTTAGGATTATTAGGGGGTCCATTCTCTTATAGGCATCCTAGGTTGTGTGATATTATGATACAGTAGCTTATCTTGATGATATTTGTTTATTCTCTAAGAACTGGGATGAGCACATCACTGGTTTACAGGCGCTTTTCACAGCTTTAAAAAATAATGGTCTAACAGCAAGACCCAGTAAGGTTGAAATTGGCATGACAGAAATCCAATTCTTAGGTCACATGATTTCGTACCAAACTGTAAAACCTGTGGGCGAAACGTTAAAGCATATTCTAGACATAAAAATTCCTAAGTCCCTAAAAGAAGTACGTAGTTTGATAGGGCTGTGCAACTATTATAGGAAATTTATTCCTAATTTCGCCTCACTGGTACACCCAATCACAGAGTTAACTAGAAAGAAAGGAAGGTACAAGGGTATTGAGTGGACTAAGGAATGTGATGATACATTACATAGTATTAAAACGATGTTTGCGGAGCAGCCAATTCTAAGGCTACCTGATCTAGGCAGACCTTTTCTTTTGGCTACGGATGCTTCTGCTTTTGGTATCGGTGCCTGCTTGATGCAGGAGGTAGATACCCATCTACATCCTGTTGTATACGTTAGCAGGAAGCTATCCGAGTCAGAAAAAAATTATGCTACGATTGAGAAGGAATGTTTGGCGATCGTGTGGGCCGTAACAAAGCTGTCTAAGTACCTATCGGGCACACATTTTACCTTACTGACCGACCACTCCCCCTTGGTAGCATTAGAAAATAAAAAACTTCATAATGCTAGGTTGACTAGGTGGGCACTTATCTTACAAGATTACAGGTTTGACATTGTACATATTCCTGGGGCCCAAAATGTTATTGCAGATACTTTATCTAGGAACTGAGGATATTAGGGGCTGGGAGAGGGTCATTTAAAGGTTTACAATTAATGCTGTATTATGTAAATATATGATGTTTTAAGATGATGATACTGTTTGATTACATGTTTGCATTACAATAATTATTGTGTTTTAAATTTGAGATAAGTAGATGATGAATGTTAGTATAAAAATTTTTTTGAAGGAAAAGGTACATTGTAATATTTGTAAGTTAAGATGCATTCGAATTATGACTTAGTGACTGAATATTGTTAGCTTGGTATGTTTGTTTATTCCTATTAGCGCCTGGCTGTCTCAAGTTGTACAAGCTACCATATTGACTCAAGAAGGAAGACAAGATTTGTCTCTGTCTATTGGTGTATATTATGTCCTAGCTAATAACATATTAAGGATATATTATTAGCTTTATGGGAGGGGGGTATGTTAGGATTGTTACATATAAGTATTTACGTAGATTTAGAGTAGCGTCCCTTTTGTTTACATGTTTCCATTAACCTTTAATCTATAGTCTATTTTAGTATATTCAGATCAAAGAATGTAAATAAATAGTACACACACATTTTGTAGCATAGGAACGATTGGGAGGGAAGTGACATAGAGCGCAGAAAACTTAGATGTTAGGCGGGGTATAAAAGGTAGGGTTAGGATTATTAGGGGGTCCATTCTCTTATAGGCATCCTAGGTTGTGTGATATTACAAGCAATAAAAGTAACGAATTGTGAACGGACTTCGTGTTGGTTTCTTGTCGACCCTGTCCTCAACTCACAACACTACTGAAGGAAATAAGGACAAAATATTAAATATCAAAACTTCTAGTACAAAGAAAGAAGTGAAATCATTGTTTGGACTATGCAATTTTTATAATATTTTGTGGATAAATATGCTGAACTTACTACTCCTTTAAGATTTTACTTTCAAGTTTTAAGATGTAACATCAGTTATCATGCATATATAACCTGGTTTAGTGGATGTAACAATATAATTTTCAACCACTTTAGTTGTATCACCAACCTCAACAGTTTAAAAAATTTATTTCATTGATTAGCTCTACACATTCCTTTTTGGCTAACAAAATCTGTTACTTTTTATGTTGTGTGCATTGGTATTTAAGCATCAGTGATATAAAGTATAGCTACCACCACTGAGGACTACTAACATACATTACTTTACATGTTATTGATTTTTTTTTAAAATGTATAAGTTAGAAAACCATTTAAATTAAAGCATGGAGTTTGTTATCATAATTTGTTAACAAATGTTTAGTTTGTTATTGGACCTTGTATTTTGTTAACTGATGTTCATGAACATAACAGTTGTGTATTTTTGTGCACTTTATATGGTAATGCTAATGGATCCTATTGTTGTTTAAAGTTGTATTCAATTAACAGAGCTTAACTATGTGTTTGGAATTTTGACTTGGTAAATATTGCTTTCATAAGGAAAATGGATTTGTCTAAGAACATTATGTCAAAAAAGCTAACTTGTAAAGGGACAGCACAATACACTAGCTGAATTTTTTATCAAGACAGATTGCAGATGAAAAAACAAACATGGAACTGACTAAAGAAAATAATGACCTGAGACATATCAGCCAATTCTTATAAGGAAATTTTGAATAATTTAGTATGTGATGTGTACTTCCAGAGAACATTAACATTTTAAAAATGTGAGCAAGATAGGAATAAGTCATAAAATGACTTGTATAAATATGTTTTACCACTATTTTAATTTAGTAATGAAACTGAACATACATTTTGTTGTATTTTATGATTTGTATGTATACTGTATATCTTGTTAAGTAATGAACATGATTATGGTAGTATGACCTGACAGATGTGGTAATTTACATATGTTATGATGAGGAGTTTACCTCAGCCAGTGAAGTAGGGAAATCAAGGATATGATTTGCCCATGGGAGCTATTACATAGCTATAATTTTGTTCTACTAGGAGAAAGTTTTCCTCAGTTAGATTTATTTTGAGATACACTAAGAGGCAATATTCCTTAGTGAGGTTTAATGATTTCTTTTGTTTTGTTACACTAAGAGGAGATGTTCCTTAGTTAGAGTCATTTGTTCTTACTAAACTAAGAAGGTTTACCTAAGTTACAATTTTTCTTAATGGCGATACTTATAAGATAAGTGACGCTTTACATTTTGCCATGTATTTTATGAATATCATTGTTTTAATTTAAAAAGTGTACATATAAAATAATTTAGGATGTTCATTAGCAAGTTTCTTTTTCAACATGATTTTCATTTCACTGTTACATGTATAATGAAGATTCTATAGTGAATGTCATCTATATAACAAAAAAAATTAATAAATTAATTTTTTTAAAGGGGAGAAAGAGCGTATAACAGTGAAATGTTGGTGGATTGTATCTTGGGAGTGTGTGTTGAAAAAGGAGATTGCATCAGGGAGACAGTGGCTGTGCGCATGGGCGAAAGGAACAGGAGAGAAAGGAGGCAAGAAGATGGCGTAGCTTGACTGAACACGCTGCCGGTGTGAAAACAAAATAAATATGAAAAACTGCAAAAGAAGGCTTGTCTTTTGATTTTGCATGTGTAATATAAAAGGTAGGAGAAAGGCCTGTGACAAATACACATTACAACAACACACATTACAACAACACGCATTACAACAATACACATTGCAACAATACACATTACAACAACACACTTTATATTACAACAACACACATTACAACAACATGCAATAAAGCAACACACATAACAACACACGTTTTGTGGACAAATTATGAAGGTAAAAAAAGAAATCTAATTCTAGTGGTGCTATTTCTGGATGACCTAAATGAAATTTAAATTACTGCCTCATTACATTTAGTGTTTATACATTACCTTTTTAACAATCCTGAATACCATTTAGAAACTGCAGTTTTAAGTTTTGGTCGGCTTTCGTTCCTACCAGTAGGCATGGATGATATATTCTATATAAAGAGAAAACAGAGTTTTTAATGTTGAAAGAGTTTGATCAATTTAAAAAACTGCATTTACTAACATGGCCACATTATGCTTTACGCTACACAAATTCTACAATAATATTAATACTAATAGAATATCTATTAGGCCTAGTAAATTAAGTATAGTAGACTAGACAGACCTTACCTTCTCATGTTTATGCATTTCTTCACTCATTCTGGATTGATCAACCAAGACACCACGGTTCTATAGATCTATCTATTCTTGATCTAAAGTAAGTTGTCAACACTACGTCACAAAGTTTAACAGTTACACTATAGTATAGTGTCAGTACTATTACAGAATGAGTATAGAATAGCCATAGTCATAACTTACTCATCACTGTAGATTAGAATGTAAATCTATAATGTTTAAATTTCATTCAGGCAGAATTTTTATACCAGTGTCCGATAATAGAATCTTCTTTAAAAAAGGGGTGTTAGGTTACTGGTAGTTAACTAAAGACACACATTGACACATTGCTGGCTAATAACCCTGTCCCAGAGACGTAGCAAGGGCGGGGCAGGAGGTGTGGACCGCACCGGGTGACACCATTTAGGGAGTGACACCAAGGCAAAAAATAGCAAAATGTACAGAAGAAGAATGCTTTTTGCCAGTTCCATTAATATTAATTAAAGCTAAATAGTCTTTTAAGTACAAATTGACTATTATTACAAAAGGGTAGTGATGACACATTGAATTGTCATTGACGTAAATTATTAGACGTCTAACAGCTAAGTATTATAAGTAAGTCTAGACTCTAGAGTAGAGTCGAGGACTCTAGAGAGTCGTCTCTAGTCACTCTCTAGATCTAGTCAGAGTCTAGTCTAGAGTTAGATCTAGAGATACTCTGCGTTCTGAGATATACTTAGCCTCACTTACTTAGTCTCCTCTTACTTAATTAAATAATTAATAATTATAATTAATAATGGACACAAGCGAGAAAAGTCTCAAAGGTATTTGAGAGGTGCATAAATTAATTTAAAAATCTTGCACGGCGTAGTTACAATTAATATGGTTATAAAATCCTGTCTGTCTGGTTTCTTTCGGACTTTACTAAAGATTGGACGTATTTGATGTTTTTAATATTTTCGGTAACTAAATAAAAATTAAAAAAAAAGCAAAAACAATTTGGTTTTCACGTGTAATGGCGACATAAACAATGGCATCCTGCTATTGGATAGGCCGACATAAATTTTATTGTACACATTGTAAGCTAAAAATAGAAAACTAGGTCATGGGGTTTTAAATTTGCATTGTTATTTAAAAACTTGATCTGCAAAGTTTTGTAAACAAATAGTAATCGATCACTAAGTTACTGTACAGCCAATCAATATTTGTCTTACGAAAGTGAAACATCCGGTTATAACGTAGGCTTGATGAAAATAAATAGAAATGTAGCCTTAAATTATTAAGCTTAAACTCAACAAATTATTTTCAAGTTCTCTGGATTTGCAACTATTATAGCATTTATTCTAAAAATATAAAATTTCTAAATTAACTCTTTAAGACCGTAACGACGCTCCCAGCGGTCGGTCCGCCGGCCTGCCATACCGTAACGACGCTCCCAGCGTCCGATAAAAATTTCTCTATTTAATTCGTTGTTTTTCAGAATCCAAGTTTTTAATCGTAAATCTAGGTCATGATAACGCTAGAGCGGCCATTTTTCGTTGTATTTACTTCTTGTAGTTTTCTCGTTAGATCGATTTTGTATTTTATAGAATTTTTTTGTAAAACAACTCGAAAAACGGCATTTTTTAACACTGCGGAATGCCGTTCAGCGGTAGCGTCTAAACGTTTACGTCGCCGCATTATAAAATTAACGAAAATTAAAGTATTTATACTAAGACTAATCCGATCCATGATTTTTGTAGATAAATGGACGTACTTTCGTTTTCTATGAATAAGAACTCATGAAAAGTTATTCTTATTATTAATTTTCCCGACAGACGCGTAATTTTTGCACGAAAAAATCAACTCTTTATTTTTTCTTCTTTAAATCTTATTAATTATCTTTCTTCAATAAATAAATAATTCCTTGAAGTTTATATCAGTGTGTAGGGTATTCAATTACGATTAATGTTTATCAATAATGTGTGGGGTTTAAATTAACGGGTAAAAAGATATGGGTCATTTAGCCGCAGGGGTGCTGAAAAAAAATGAGGGAAAAAAAATAATTCCGGTAAAACGTGAAAATAATTACGGGCTTAAAGAGTTAATTTTAGGCTTAAGTTTTTTTTTTTTTTACGGTCTAAATCTAAAAAGCACGTTTTTATTCCATGACAACAACACTATGGAAGGAATCTCGTCAACTCGCTTGTCTCCATTAGCAGTCTTGGTAATCTATCGTTTTGGGTATGTAAAATCGCCCGCGATTTGTAATGTGAAAAACAGGTGACTCCTTAAATTTTAATAATTATTTCACATTTTGAGGAGGATTTATGTTTTAAAAAATTCAAAAATGTTTCCTTGATTCATTTATGTACCTGTTTTTAAACAATTGAATTAAAACTTTTCCGTAATAAATGAAGACTAGCGATGTTTCCAACAGATGCAACCATGCTTATTTACTATAGCAGCCATCTTGTCTAAGTTTTATTTTTATAAGCCTTTAGCGCCAGATTCAGGGGGAAGCCACTCTATTTTACAAATGGCTGCTGTTTATAGATCTATAGCAAATCTTGCTCTCAGACACTGCTGTTTAAAGTTAATTTCTGGCCTATATCGATATATTTAGCCATTGATTTAGGTTTATTATTCATTTATCTATAATATTTGACACAAATATATGACAATATACTTCTATTAAAGCCTTGACAATGAGGTAACGTTTTCGTACATAAATAGCCGCGGGCGATTTTACGTACCCAAAACGATAGATTACCGCAGTCTCCTCCTCACTCTACTCTAGTGACAGACTAGTCTAGAGTCTAGACAGTCTAATAATTATATAGATCTAGATCTATTAGATTTACAATCTAAATATCTAAATCTGGAATCCTTAATATAATAATATACGTTAATTATAAATAGTTGGTGTAATTAATAACATTCAATCAACCCATTTCTAGATTCTAGATCTACTCAACTCTACTGTTTACGTTTTCGCTTAATAAAGTTACACTATCTCAAGAACTTTAACTCTCATAGCTCAGATCGTGACGGTTATTTCCCTTATTAGTTCTTCTACCTACAAGATTGTTAGTAACATTTTACACGTTAACGTAATAATAATAACGAGCCGGCCCGCGGCATAACATACGCCGCTATTTAGTTGTTTCTAATTTTCAATAATTCATAATATGTGAATTCGGCAGTACCAACGCTGACACTGAAAATATTTCTTTAAAACACTATAAGTAGCTCGTTAAGGACCATAACCCCCCCCTTCCTCCCCCCCCTCCCCACCCCCCCTAACTTTAAAATCGTTGGCTCTGCTTGTAAACATTTAGAGTGAATACAGCTCACTAAAACCATGTAGGGGTGGGGAGGTAGGGAGAGCGTTTGCAGCTTGTTTTCTAACGGCTCGAAGAAGAGAATTATATATATAGATAATATTTATAATAATAATAATAATAATAATAATCATAATAATAATAGGCCTAATAATAATAATAATAATAATAATAATTATTATTATTAGGCTATTATTATTATTATTAGGCATATTATTTATAATAATTTATAATTTATAATTATTATTAGGCCTATTATTATTATTATTTATTATTATTATTATTATTATTATTATTACCCTAATATTCGGCTGATATAAATAATAATATTATTAACCTAATGTAGGGCTAATAAACAGGGCCGGCGCTACATCTGGGCGAACTAGACGGTCGCCTAGGGCAGGGGTCGGCAACCTGCGGCTCGCAAGCCGCATGCGGCTCTTTTGATATCAAGATGCGGCTCTCCAGCTCCTTGAACAAATACTAATAATCTTATTTAAAAAATAAAATATTTGATATAAAAAAAAAATGTTTGTGGCTCTTTAAAACCAGGGAAATTTTGAAAATTGTAACTTTTGGCTCTCCCGCTTCAAAAGGTTGCCGACCCCTGGCCTAGGGCACTGTCCGTAGGGGGGCGCCAAAATGGGTTGGAAAAACAAATTGAAAGTTTGAGGGGGGGTGCTAATCGACAGTTTGTCCACGGGCGCCGGGAAGGGTCGCTACGCCTCTGATAATACGGGGGCACGAAAAAAATTGTGGGGGGGGGGGGGGGGCGCTTTTAATAAGTTTTGCCTAGGGTGCCAAATAACCTGGCGCCGGCACTGCTAATAACTAATAATATTAATAAGCCTAATAATGATCCATTTTAAATTTTAAAAAACTTGCTGTTATTATTTTTGCAGATATTATTTTTTTAAAAGAATGACCAATGTGCCGGCCTGATAGTTTAAATTTTGTTGAAACGTGGAGGGGGGGGGGGGGTGGCGGCATAAAAAACGGATCAAATAGCCTATATAGGCCCTATTTTGTGTATAAAGATGGCAGGGGCGGAACTACAGTGCCGCTAGACCCGGCAGTGCGGGGGGGGGGGGGGAGGAGCAGGCCGTTTAGGGGCCCACAGAATATCATAATCAATTTTTTTATAGTTAAAAAAATAATAATTTTCTTGAATTTTTTACCTTAATGGTTGTTTTGTCAAAAGAATACTGGTTGGATTATCTTTACTCTGTAGACACCATCCCGAGTCCTCTTTCTCCTACAATCAAACACATAACATTTGCGTCCTGTTAAGAAAATTAAATTTACTTTTGATCCATATATGAAAAATGTAAAATCTATCAGGAATGTGGCATCAACCCTTCACTTGCCTAGTGTATTAGGAACCAATGCCGGAACAGTCGTCAAATTTGATATCAGATCAGACAGGATAGAACCTCAAATTGATGTAGAGTTCAATGATGGCGAAAAATTGATATTCAAGACAGGCAACCTCTCCCATCTAGAAATATTAGACTATTTTTATGAGTGGATGAAAAAGATCCCAATAAGCATGACGGACCCGAATTAGTTACAACAAGTTCAAAGGTTGCAAGCAAAATGAAAGGAAAGAGAAAATGAAAATATTATAATTTTGTTGTGTACAATTGTAAAAAAATAATAATACAAAACAGACTAATAGCACTCACACAAATGACGTGCTGTTGTAACTTGTTTTAATAATAAATTTAAAAAAAAAACCTAAGAATTTTAAATTTTATTTTCAAAACTCGAACAAGCCCGAAATGAGTATTTTATGTTCGTATTTTCGTTATTTGTATATATATATATATATATATATATATATATATATATATATATATATATATATATATATATATATATATATATATATATAAATATAAATATATATATATATATATATATATATATATATATATATATATATATATATATATATATATATATATATGGGTCCCAAACATTTTTTTTGCGGGGTGGCCCTTTTTTATAGTGCCGCCACTGAAAGTAAGCCTTTTGTATACGAATTGTTTTTTTTTTCAATTTCAATCGTGATGGGAGGGGGTGGGATGGGCTCTCCCCTAATAGATGCCTGAAAGAAACACTGTTTTTATTCAACTAAATTGGTTGATTTTGATTATTATATAGTTCCAATATTCATCCAGTATATTTTGAACGTTCAATCTCTTTACAAAACTCATTATAGATTTGCTAAAAATTACAAAAGACTGTCCATCCTTTTGAGATGTTGAAAAGTCATGTTCCCAAAGTGCAATTAGACCTCATTTATTGTTTATAAACTCGTTACTATATTACAGTCAATATATTACTGACGGTCCATGGGGTAAGTGAAGTAGAGTTCACCTGTTTTAACACGTTTTTAACACGTTTTTCTTAACTCAGCTTCGCGTTTGTTTGTTTGTTTGTTTGGATGTTTGTTGTTAAAATTGACATCGAAAATTAGCCCACTTCTGATTGCTCTAGAGATCTGAAATTTGGCATGTAGGCTACTTTCGCCTAACAATTTCAGATGCAATCATAAAAACTAGCAATTAGAGACCGTAATTAGCTTAATTTAATTACGCCCCAAGGACCATAAAATTGAGGACATGATTTCTAAAGATACCGACAAGACTGGAGGCCTATCGACACAGTTACTTCGGCCCCAATCGATGTGAGCGCGCTGGCCGTAATCGTATAGTGGTTAGTACTTCGCGTTGTGGCCGCGACAACCCAGGTTCGAATCCTGGTCGCTCAAGATTTTTAGTCCGTGTATTTATAAGCACTTAGTCAAGTCATACTTCATTAAGTCATTCGATAAAGTAGAAAATAAACTATATAAAAAACTTTTTTTAAAAACCACGTTTTTCATGTGTAGCAACGGACTAAAAAGGAGAAAACAAAATACTTAAAAAAAACTTTTTAAAAAACCACGTTTTTCTTGTGGACTAAAAAGTAGAAAATAAATTTTCATACATTTGATGACAAAAAACGTGGGTCGGTCAGATGGGTCGGGAAATTTGATGGTGAACGTACCCACGTTTTTTGTCATCAAATGTATGAAAATTTATTTTCTACTTTTTAGTCCACAAGAAAAACGTGGTTTTTTAAAAAGTTTTTTTTAAGTATTTTTTCTTAACTCAGCTTCGCGTTTGTTTGTTTGTTGTTAAAATTGACATCGAAAATTAGCCCTTTTCTGATTGCTCTAGAGATCTGAAATTTGGCATGCAGGCTACTTTCGCCTAACAATTTCAGATGCAATCATAAAAACTAGCAATTAGAGACCGTAATTAGCTTAATTTAATTACGCCCCAAGGACCATAAAATTGAGGACATGATTTCTAAAGATACCGACAAGACTGGAGGCCTATTGACACAGTTACTTCGGCCCCAATCGACGTGAGCGCGCTGGCCGTGATCGTCTAGTGGTAAAACTTCGCGTTGTGGCCGCGACAACCCAGGTTCGAATCCTGGTCGCTCAAGATTTTTAGTCCGTGTATTTATAAACACTTAGTCAAGTCATACTTAATCAAGTCATTAGATAAAGTAGAAAATAAACTATATAAAAAACTTTTTTAAAAACCACGTTTTTCATGTGTAGCAACGGACTAAAAAGGAGAAAATAAAATACTTAAAAAAAACTTTTTAAAAAAACACGTTTTTCTTGTGGACTAAAAAGTAGAAAATAAATTTTTCTTTTGTGCTTCCTCGAGCTGTGCAGATTCTTGTGATGACTGACAAAAAACGTGGGTCGGGCAGATGGGTCGGGAAATTTGATGGTGAACGTACCCACGTTTTTTGTCAGTCATCACAAGAATCTGCACAGCTCGAGGAAGCACAAAAGAAAAATTTATTTTCTACTTTTTAGTCCACAAGAAAAACGTGGTTTTTTAAAAAGTTTTTTTTAAGTATTTTATTATGACCTCGGCTTATGAAGGAATAGGGGTCATCCATAAAAGACGTCACGCTTTTTTGACGATTTTTATTCCCCCCCCCTCCCCACCGTCACACGTCGTCACAAAAAGCCACACCCCACCCCTAAAATGACGTCACACCTCAACCTACAACCTCCCTCAAAATTGCAGAAGAATTTTTTAAAAACATCGATATTTTTCTAAAATCTTGTCTAAACTATTACGATTTATTAAAACAGTTATCTAAAACGCGAAATAACGGCTAAAACTCGTTTTCTGACACTGCTTTTTTGTAATGCAAAAATGTGACGTCGCAACATTTGACCCCCCCCCCCTCCCCCTCATCACACATCGTCACAAAATTACGGACCTCCCTCCCCCCTTCGAGTGTGACGTCATTTATGGATGACACCATAGTGTGGACTAGCCGCGTTTACTTTCCCTAGCGCAAGTTAGTTACCCATCAGAGCTGGGTGGACTCAACTACGTACTTTAATCTCTTAATCTCTTCGGGAGGGGGGGGCTTACCCGAAGAAAGTCCCCCCTCCCCCAGAACGAAATGGAATTTATTTATAAAATATATACTTTGCCATTATCCGACCTCCAGAAAATTAAGTCCCCTCCCGCCGAAAATATCAAGTGCCCCCCCCCCCCCCCCCGGAGAACAAAGTCTGAAAGAAACACTGGTCGAGACGTTTATGTGTTTTGTTTATATTCAAGTGATTATACTGG